TTTCTTGAAGAAGCATAAGAAAAGAAAGTTTTTAAAGCTTTTAACTATACTAAAACAGAAGTGTAGCAAAACTTTCAATCTTAGAATATGAGTTTCAGAGTGAATTATATACAGCAAACTCTTTTAAGAAAAAATGTCAAGTTTTTATAAGAACTCTCTTTCAAAACTCATCAGATTCAGATTCAGAGAAAGAGAATATATTACTTCTCAACTATATTGATAAAAATGACTGAGAATGGCCTGATCTTACTCAAGATGAATTAGAGTCAGCTATTTTCTCAAGTTCAGTTAAAACTGCTGCAGGGCCTGATTCAATTAATCACTTGATTATTCAAAATACATACTTCTACTTAAAGAATGAATATTTTAAGCTCTTTTTCAATCTCTTGAAAAATGAATATTATTCTCAATACTGAAGAGAAGTCACTGAAGTGATTCTTATAAAACCTAATAGAAAAACTTCAATTCTCAAGTCATATAGAGTAATATCTCTATTGAACTGTCTAGAAAAGGTTTTAGAAAAGATAATAGCTACTTAAATATCTTTTATAAGCTCTATCAGTAATTCTCTTTTATTCAGTGAATAAATGAGAGATAGAAAACAGTGTTCTACAATTGATACTGTTCTCTCAGTTATTCATGATATTCAAATAGCAAAGTATGAAGATCTGGGTCTCAACTGCAGTTTTTATTGATATAAAAGAAAGCATTTGATCATATTTCAAAGTCAAAGTTAATTCAGAATTTGAAGATGTTAAAACTGTCACTTTCTCTAATAAAATGAGTTAACTATTTTATATCTAAAAGAATTATACAACTTTTCTTTGATGAAATGAAATAACATAAGACTGAGATAAAAATAGAAGTACTGTAAGAATCTTCAATCTCACTTATTTTATTTACAATATACACTGTATATCTATTCAAAAATAGAAATATGAGAATAGTATAATCTCTCAGTTATATGTATGATATTGATCTAGTCTACAGCTCAAAAACTATTAAAGAGAATTTGAAAGTGATTGAAGAAGCTGCAAAGAAAATCTTTATTAGAGCATATATAAATCAAATTTAATTTAATTTGAATAAAACTGAGTTAATTCATTTCTTTTCTAGATTCAATGAGAAAGAACTATCTCTAACTCTTTTAAATAGAGAGATTAAACTCAGTGTAAATATTAAGTGATTAGAAGTATGATTAAACTTTAAGTTGAATTTTAAATATCACATTCAACAAAGAACTGTCAAGATAGAAAGACTATTGAACAACATAATCAGACTATCAAATACAGAGAGAGGTCTATTCTTTCAGACTATGAGACAGATATATATAGCCTGTATTACATCAGTAGCTGATTATGAAGTTTAAGTTTAATGAAATAATCAAGGAAATTTCACTGAACTCTTTCAAAGTCTGAAAAACAGAGTCTTGAGAAGAATTCTGAGAGTATTCAAATCATCTTCTATTAAAGTAATGAACATTGAAGCTTCAATTCCTTCTTCTACTATTAGAATTGAAAAGGCCTGTATGAACTATGCTCTGAGAGTTATAAAGATAAGCTCAAATTATATAATCAGAGAAAGAGTCTCTTCTTCATTTTCATTAATTAACTCTGGAAATGAACTGAATTGAAATAGATTTCTTAATTGAAATGAAAATAATTCTTCAAAGAAAATGTCTTCTCAACTGTACAGACTATGCTCTCTGATTAAAAATCAATTTTCTTCTTTAAATATTGAAAAAGTTAATCATGAGAAGTTATCTCTCTGAAGAGAAAAGCTTGAATCTCTTATAGACTTATAAATAAGTGAACTATCTAAAGAGAAAGAATATGAACAGTATTTGAAGAGAATTTCTACAATTAATATAAAAGACTCTATTCTGATTTATTCAGATGACTCAAAAAATGAGAATTTGAATAGATTAGATACAGACATTGCTTATACTGAAGATAATATTAATTTTATCTCAGATTTCTGAAATTTAGACTGTGAATCTGAAGTCTTTGATGCTGAACTATTTATAATAGTGAAAGCTTTCAAACTCATTAAAATAAAATCTTATAAAAGAGAAAATAGTTTGAAAGAGATATGAATATTCTCTGATAGTCAAGCTGCTTTAAAAAGACTTAGAAATAGTCAGATTTATAATGATTAAATGAATCTTGAACTGATCTTAAACTCTGTTTTAAAAATTCAAAAGAGAAGAATATCAAAGCTGATAATTCATCTACACTGAGTTCCTACTTATATGAATATTCATGATAATGAATTGACTGATTCAGCTGTAAAAAAGAGTACAGAATTAAGCAGATCTATTCAAAAAATTATATTCTAGTCTTTTATAAAGAGAAAAATAAAAGAATCTTGTCTAGATAAGTGAAATGAAAGCTGACAGAAATAAAAGAAGAGTATACATTATTCAAGATTTGAAACAAAACTCAAGTAGAAATCTTGTTTAATTAAATATAAAAAGAAAATATTCTCATCTATAATATAGCTGAAACTAGAACATGACTATTTCAAATCTTATATACAAAGATTTGATGATAGATTTAACTTAATAGAATGCTCATTCTGCAATGTAAATGAGAATTCTGAGTATATTGTAATATACTATATATTATACAATAGTCTCAGAGTCAGATTGAAAGAGAAGTATGATTTAAATCAATTAAATATGAGATTCTTATTCTCAACTGAGACAGAAATTAAATACTTAATAGACTTTCTATCAGAAACTCAAGCAGCTACAAGAAAATGACTAAATTCAGAAATATCTGAATATGAAGAGAAGAAAATCAATCAGATATAGTCTGTTAAAACAGCTATATACTATCTTTTAATATTTTATTTTATTACAGTCTCTCTTTACTTTATCTTTTTCTTTCAATTCCTTTCTATCTATCTATTTAATATGTCTATCTTTAAGACTGTGTTCTCTTTTCCTTTGTCATGATATTGTCAAATGATTTCAAAGTATCAGAAGATGTTAAAACACTGTAATTTATAAACAGTTTTTGTATTCTGAGCTGAAATTTTCTGATTTTACATATCTGAAATTGATGAATGTATAATAGTTAACTTTACAGATATAGAAAAAACTCTGAGAACTAAAAGTTCTCAGGTAGATGTGATAGTCTCTGACTGTATACATCTATAATTTAAGAATATTAATAATAATAATTAATAAAATAATCAAGAGAATTTCGCTGAACTCTTTTAAAGTCTGTAAAACAGAGCTCTGAGAAGAATTTTAAAAGTATTCAAATTATCTTCTATTAAAGCAATGAAAATTGAAGCTTCAATTCTCTCTTCTACTATTAGATTTGAAAAGATCTGTATGAACTATACTCTGAGAGTTATAAAGATAAGCTTAAATTATATAATTAGAGAAAGTGTCTCTTCTTCATTTTCATTAATTAACTCTGAAAATGAACTGAATTGAAATAGATTTCTTAATTAAAATGAAAATAATTCTTTAAAGAAAATGTCTTCTCAACTATATAGACTATACTTACTGATTAAAAATCAATTTTCTTCTTTAAATATTGAAAAAGTTGATCATGAGAAGATATCTTTCTGAAGAGAAAAGCTTAAATCTCTTATAAACTTATAAATATATAAACTATCTAAGAAGAAAGAATATGAATAGTATTTGAAGAGAATTTCTACAATTAATATAGAAGACTCTATTCTGATTTATTCAGATAACTTCAAAAATAAGAATTTAAATAAATTAAATACAGACATTGCTTATACTGAAGATAATATTAATTTTATCTCAGATTTCTGAAATTTAAACTGTGAATCTGAAGTCTTTGATACTGAATAATTTATAATAGTGAAAGCTTTCAAACTCATTGAAATAAAATTTTATATAAGAGAAAATAGTTTAAAAGAGATATAAATATTCTCTGATAGTTAAGCTGCTTTAAAAAGACTTAGAAATAGTTAGATTTATAATAATTAAATAAATCTTAAACTGATCTTAAACTCTGTTTTAAAAATTTAAAAGAGAAGAATATTAAAGCTGATAATTTATCTACACTAAGTTTTTACTTATATAAATATTTATAATAATGAATTGACTGATTCAGCTGTAAAAAAGAATTCAGAATTAAACAGATCTATTCAAAAAATTATATTCTAATCTTTTATAAAGAGAAAAATAAAAGAATCTTATTTAAATAAGTAAAATAAAAACTGATAGAAATAAAAGAAAAGTATATATTATTCAAGATTTAAAATAAAACTTATATAAAAATCTTATTTAATTAAATATAAAAAGAAAATATTCTCATCTATAATACAGCTAAAACTAGAATATAATTATTTTAAATCTTATATATAAAGATTTGATGATAGATTTAATTTAATAGAATACTTATTCTGTAATATAAATAAGAATTCTGAGTATATTATAATACACTGTGTATTATATAATAGTCTCAGAGTTAGATTGAAAGAGAAGTATAATTTAAATTAATTAAATATAAGATTCTTATTCTCAACTGAGACAGAAATTAAATACTTAATAAACTTTCTATCAGAAACTCAAGCAGTTATAAGAAAATGACTAAATTCAGAAATATCTGAATATGAAGAGAAGAAAATCAATCAGATATAGTCTGTTAAAATAGCTATATACTATCTTTTAATAATTTATTTTATTACAGTCTCTCTTTACTTTATCTTTTTCTTTCAATTTCTTTTTATCTATCTATTTAATGTGTTTATCTTTAAGACTGTGTTCTCTTTTCTTTGATCATGATATTATCAAATAATTTCAAAGTATTAGAAGATGTTAAAATACTGTAATTTATAAACAGTTTTTGTATTCTGAGCTGGAATTTTCTGATTTTATATATCTGAAATTGGTGAATGTATAATAGTTAACTTTACATATATAGAAAAAACCCTGAGAACTGAAAGTTCTCAGGTAGATGTCATAGTCTCTGACTGCATACATCTATAATTGAAGAATAATAATAATAATAAGGACTCAGCAAGTTCCTACTCTGGGGTTTCCTTCCCATCCGTGCGCGCAGTGCATGTTGAGCTGTGATCCTTGAACTAAATAAGTTGATTTCCATGGGTGATCAATCAGCCGCCAGTCACTTACTGTTGAAGTAAAAACAGCACCACATTTTTTAGTGCATTGCTGACAGCGGTGAAGGCTTATTGATATTTGGGGGCTTTTCTTCAATTGAATCCCAAAGACCAATGAGTCTGCTCTGAACTGGCTTCGGCAGATTTTATGATACGGTATGATGACCATCCGACAGACCATTGCTCATCTTGGTATCCAGCCGCGGATGCAACATAAGCGGGAGCCGGCATGGATGTTTGGGATCTTGCGGCGCTAGATTCTATCAGTGGCATGGACATCAAATGATTAGTTACTCAACTCAAACCGAGCTGCGAAGGACAGGTTAGGAATCAGGTTGGAATAGTTTTCTGCCAAACAATTACGGCTGTGCCCGCCATTAACTAGTTACACCTTTCTCTCTAGAAACTCAAAGTCGAGCTGATACACCCTCGTTCTCGACCGGAGCAACTTTCTCCTGAGCTCGACCAGCAACTATTCAGCATAGCCCAGGAAATGGTGTTTAATTTAAAGATCGACCGGGCCTTGAAATAATCTGACGTTTAATTGGTTAGCACTACCCCAGGTCAACGCCCAGCGCATCGAAACCGCGAGACCGCATGTCAAGCTTGTTCTGTGGCATCCCAAGCTGGGTTGCTTTGCATATGTTTAGGCACAGACGGCAGGAGGTTGCCAACGGGGATCCCAGCATGATTGCGGATAAATTCCATATCTGTGCTGGCAACTACCGATCTCACAAGCGAATAAAGAGTCCGAGCCTAGGATTGATGGGTGAGACTAATGGCTTGTATTTTTCTTATTTTATTTTATCTGCCGTCATGCCCTTGATTGCTACAAATACTCTCAGCCCCCTTCTCCTACTATTTCAACAGAGGCACCCCCTCGTTCGTCCTCCTAGTTTCCCTCATCCCGTCGTGAGGATAATTTCGGCTCTTATTCCTTTCTTCCCTTTCCTTCAATTTAGTTGCTACAATGCTTCTGTCTTTACCTCTATTGTTTATATGGTTTAGCTACCTGCTCCCAGCAATCTCAGCTGGGCAGTGCCCGCCCAAATATGTTAACGTCCGGCATTTCGAGCTCGAGCTCACCTGGGGAGATGCTTCTCCGGACGGAACCGAACGAAAAGTGATTTTCACTAACAACCAATTCCCCGGGCCCCAACTAAACATCGCGGAAGGTGATGAGGTTAAGGTCCTCGTTAAAAACAAACTTCCATTTGAAACATCTATCCATTTCCACGGCATTTCTCAACACGGCACCCCGTGGTCGGACGGAGTGCCTGATGTTACCCAGAGGGCTATTCAGCCAGGGGAATCCTTCCTGTACCGCTGGACTGCAGTCGAATATGGCGCTTATTGGTATCACGGCCATGCACACGGCCAGATGTCTGATGGCCTGTTTGGAGCGATTGTGATTAGCCCAAAACCGGGCCGACCTGCACCGTTTCACAAGATTTCCAAATCGCCAAAGGAGATTGAGAAGATCAGGAAAGCCACGTTGAACCCAACGACCATGTTTTTGTCCGACTGGCACCATTTGACTTCGGAAGAATTTTTCCATGTGGCTACGGATTCTGGGATCGACAACTTCTGCACGGATAGCGTTTTGATCAATGGGAAGGGATCAGTTATATGCAAGTCCCAAGACGAGTTGAATAATTTGACAAGGCCAGATCAAAGAATGCTTCTGGGAGATGAGAATCTAACGGACAAAGGGTTTGTTTGTTTACCCCCTACCTGTTCCATAGATTGACAACGCTGACTATCATTACAGTTGTCTTCCTTACTATCTCCCGTCTGTTGTGGGTGACTTCCCCTTTGATCCCGAGAAAGTTCCGGAAGACCTCTACTACAACTGTCAGCCAAATGAAGGACAACGTGAAATTCTCACCGTCGACCCTGATGATGATTGGGTAAGTCTCAATTTTATAAGCTCGTCAACAATTGCTCGCTTCATGTTAAGCATCGATGAGCATAAAATGTGGATATATGCCATCGATGGGCATTACATCGAACCCACTCGTGTCGATGCCGCTCCCGTTCCCAACGGCAGTAGAGTTTCTGCCCTGATCAAGCTCAACAAGCCTCGTAGAGACTATACGATACGTGCTGCCAATGTCGAAAGCAACCAACTGTTCAGCGGATTTGCGACCCTTCGATATGCAGGGCAAAAGAAAGGCCCTCGTCCCAAACCCAGTAAGCCCTCCATTGGATACAATGGCGTCAACCTGACGGCAGACTTTGTGGCTCTCAACGAGGACAAGATCACTCCTTTTCCACCATCCAAACCCGCTTCCAAGGCTGATACAACTTTCAAATTCAACATCGGATTTGCCGGCGCGGCCTTTCGTTGGACCCTCAGCGGGAAAGCTCCACTAAACACTTCTCAAGGAATCGAGCCAATTCTTTTCGACCCCAACGGGCCACTGGGAAGTAATAGAAATGTGACTTTCCCAACCAAGAATGGTACATGGGTGGATCTAGTTCTCATCACGGGCGGAAATTTCAACCCTCCTCACCCGATACACAAGCACTCGCACAAAATGTATCTGATCGGTAAGGGGCAAGGACCTTTCGACTGGGAGACTGTTGAAGATGCCATCAAAGAGGTTCCTCAGTTCTTTAACCTGAAATCGCCGCCCTTGGTAGATGGGTTTACATCGCCTCCTGGCACAGCACAAGATCCCGGGTGGGTAGTTGCTCGATATCAAGTGACTAACCCGGGTCCTTTCCTGTTACACTGCCATATCCAGACACATTTGTCAGGTGGGATGGGAATTATTCTGCTGGATGGATATGATAAACTTCCCGAGGTGCCAGTCGAGTATTTGAAGGCGGAGTTTTAGTCAGAAAACGTAATAAGGCGAGGAAAAGCGGACTGACGCAGAGCTCTCCAACTCTGCATATATTACCTTCAATTCGTTTGTATATATATAATACTTATTGGCCATTTTTCTTTGTATCTTAATAGCACGCATAGTACTGTACATGTACATACATACAGCTCATTTGAGAATATATTTCGATTTTAGATATTCTTTTTCCCTTGATAGAAGCCAGGGAATTAAGGGGGAAACGAGGATGAGAATGTCCACCTAGACACGCGAAGAATACTTGTCCGGAACACAGATATTTTAACTCGTCGGTCATCCTCCGTAAATACCACCTCAATCTTTTGCCCCTCACGTACTCCGTACGTCCATTGTTATTGAGCAGCCAGCAGTGAGACCCGTTTGAAAATGGTATTGTCGCGGGGAAGCTGATCTTCCCTCTCCCAACAAGGGGATTTATATCACGGGGATAGCGAACCCTAATCTGCACATATTTGTCGCAGCTTGCTCCTAACATCTTAAGAGTGATAACTCCACCAAACCTCTACAAGACTACACCCTCAACTACAGCTACGATTACTGGATGAGCTTCCACTTACATTGATACTCTTAAGAACTATAATTGGTTTGGCGGTGAAGCGTACGCTCACGTCTACCACACAAGCTCAACTACTGTGGTGAAAACAGTTCACCACTTGACCGATGCCCTGAAGAAGAGAGGGAAGGGTATCTTTACTTAAGGATATCAATTTCTATGAACGTCTAAATTGGCGTCAGGACCTGGATTATTTTCTCATGCTTCGGAACATCTTTTACTATATATTGCGCGAATAATGCCGCCATTTGGCGCTTTCATGATCGTCAGGGGCGAAGAAAATAATCGTTTCAGGGGACGTCTTATCCGTGTGAAAGATTATGAGGATCCCGTCCCCACCGCTCTATGGATACAAAATTCACATCTACGCTTGAATATGCGAAGAAAATGAGCTTTTGTCACAGTGATCTAAACACAACAAATTGGCTTCTTCATGCGAACTCCAACTTGAAGCTGTTTCGATTTCAGTCGTACCAACCAGTACTCTGTGGGACGTGCGAGAAGCTGCTGGGCCCTCAAAAGGCACTTGCAGACTCTGCTCTACCAGAACTGAGCAGTTCGCCATCATATCATGTCAATTCTCTACCTCATGTTATACGGTCGCAAAACTTACAAAGACATTAACCTGGACGGGCCTGAATTGGAACCCGATTTAAGGAGATGACTTTCCCGGATATTAACCGCCACGAAAATCTTTGGTAGTCTCATTATTTGGTTGTTGGTATAATGCTTATCGTATTACGGTTCTGATAACTAGTATATGAGTTCAAGCACAAAACAAAATACATTGGCATCGATCACGGAATATGAGATTATCGACCGCCCAAAGGAAATGAAGAGAGAGAGCTGTGAAGCACTGACCCGAAAAGGAACCTCTCTATGCATCTAAGAGACTATTCATATGGGCTCTTGGTCTCTCTACCGGAACGGCTTTGGTTTTGGTTCTGGTTCCCCAGCCTTGATAGATAATCAGATCGAAACGTGCAAACGTCACCGGCCAACGAAGATACTCTGCGTTCTGCACCGAAGGATCAGATAACATCTTCCCGGGTCGCTTGCGCAGATCTTTCGACTTCCGATAGCTGTACGGCCCCTCTCAATACGGTGGGCGGCTATCGGATAGCGACCCGCGGGAAGACCAGTGTTAAGATAAAAGCTTTCGAGTTCTACGGCATTTCGCATTTCGAAGACCCAAATTCATTTGAGTGGAAAGCTGAATAGGGATCCAGGTCAACTATCATTCACCGGCATGAGAGGATGTAGTGCCCCCTGAGAAGTCCTGACTGCAAAGAAAGTAGTCCGTCCTATCATGGATTTTCAAGTGTCAACTGCTGCGGGCTGATGCTAGGATTCTAGAGAGGTTGATAAGGTAAGGTACATAGGAATAGCTTGATACATCCGCCGGATCATCTCTCTTCCCTTTAGCTTAGTCCTGATAAAAAATCACCTGGGATAATGTTTCCTATCCGCAGGATTTATCCGCGCTTCCTTTTCCCCACGGTTCGACCATGGTTAATAACTCTTTAACCACCTCAACCATCATCACATTTTTGATATTTCCATGAGAATATATCACATGCTCGAAGGTGGCAGGCAACACGAAATGTGCGAGAGGTAGGTGTTTTTCAGAAGATAACGAGGTTCAATAAAAGCATCATATTATGACTTATATGTGGAAAAAAGGAGGCACTTCTGACTGGCCGGGCACACCCGCTGTTTTTCTCAGCAGTAGACGAACCTAGGTAGATATGAGTGGGAATTATAAAACTCGCCAAGTAACATTTGCTAGAGAACAATTCAACTGGCTGAGAACTGAGTTTGATATCTGATTTTGATATACAAAAGGTAAAAAACAGAAGATAACTAGGGAGAGAAGAGTACTCTATGACTCTTGTACTCTGGAATCTAGTAGCCGTATTCAGGATGCATTGAGAACTGAAGTATCTAACTATATTCCGCATGCATGGAACATGAGAGATCGTCGCTCTCCGGTCTGTCCTGATCAAGTTTTATTTTATGATCAATTGTTAGCCGTAGCTGACCGGGGGCTTGGGCCAAGACCTGATACCAGCACGCCACACGTCGTTTTAACTTCTGAGTTAGTAAGTTCGCACCAAGCTTCCACCAAGGGGGCGGAGAATTAGTTTTCGAAAGAAGCACACGAGTTCGGGTCGGGATTTACGTGACGAATGTCCATCCTCGTTTTCATTGTTATTCGTGACCCTTGTTCCCTGTCCGATCCCCCCCAACCCGGTCTATGCTCTACTGCGTAATGTTCCGTTGGGTTTGCTTATGTACTTGATAAGAAGAAAAAAAAAAAAAAAAAAAAAAAAAAAAAAACAAGAATGAATCCTATGGAACTGAGCGGCAGCCAATCGCTGAGAGAATGCAACGCACCACGGCCAATCCATGGATTTTGCCTCCGGCTGAGACGGTGAACGGGATGGGCAGGGGTAAAAAACCAGCTAGCTAACTTTTTCGACTGAATCCATCAGGCTGGGAGCTGGAAGCTAGAGCAGGATTCAGCTCCATGCAGTGCATCCTCTCACCTGCAGGAAGATAATGCCAAACACATCCGAAAAGTAGTTGTAGAATACTTCGATCACCACGCACAAGAAGAATTGTTAGTCCAAGCGGCTAATGCAGGACTGATGCATATGCACTTGGCAAATGGTCGATAGATTATTAAGGAAGAGAAAAAAATAAGCACGCAAAAACTAATGGTGATCACTGTTAGTTAGTCTTGACTGAAAATTCGAGAGGGATGCATATGCGGGAGACTTGTTTGGGATCCCGATTCGTGCTTTTCCGGAGACCAAAGCGTCCAACATTCCAATCCTTCAACGAAACCTGTCGTCAGGTTGATTCCATGCAGGCTATTTTAGCCTTGTCATTTGTCTGTGGAAGTTTGTGGCCCCTCTGTTCTTACGCAGTACGCCGGTGTTGGCGTTTCCCTGTCCCCTCGCCCCATCCTTGGGGCAGGCAGCCTGCCGCTGGTGCGATAGGATGCAAGGTATGGGGCTTGAAATCACGCTATTGGAAATTGAGGGGATGGAGCAGGGAAGCTCAATTGGCCAAGTGCCATGCCAAGCTGACTGGCTCTCCACTGGAGGACTCTCTTAGCTCAAGGCAAGCATTTCTATTTCCCTCCAAAGGCTCCACAGTAGGGGAAGCATCGAAGCACGGTGAGACATGGGAGGGGAGGTTTTCAAGGAGGACCCGGCATGGTGGAATTGGAGGCGCGTCCCTGGATCTCCCGTCTTTGGTTCAGCTGTGAGGTAGAAGTAGTAGTACTCCACTCCGTAGTATGATTATTATTATTATTATCCTAGGGTCTGATCATTATAATCAATCATGTTTATGCACATGCACCAGTTTGTAGATGCTCTCCCCGAATACTCCGTAACAAGAATGCTCATGGCATGATGGTGTCTCACTGGTTCTATCGAGGGCAGATGGAGGTGATTGGTGAGGCTCTGGCCTGTCTTTGCCTGCGTCGATCGATCTGGATCGCCCGCCAAGCCGTTGAACGCTCTGCTTCCCCGCGAAAAGCTGAGGAAGGTTGGGCTGGTGGAATAGTAACGCTCTTGATTCAGTAGTGGTAAGTAGTAGTAGTAGTAGTAGTAGTAGTAGTAGTAGTAGTAGTAGTAGTAGCACGGAGTACAGAGTAGTTCAACGACTGACAGTCAGTCCAGTCTGTGACAGATAACAACAGTGCGAAGTTACCTGGGCCCTTTGTTGCTGTCAAAGGGAAAAGTCCTGGTCGCACGCAACCTTGATGGGACACTTTTGTCAGTCAGTCTGCTCAGCGGTCCGGTCCACTATTTTCTTTCTAGCTTGTATGCTGAGGGCCCCATCAGAATGGACTTTCTTTTTACTTTCCTTTTTCTTTCCTTTTTCTTTCTCTTTTCTTGGAACTCATGCAGATGTTGGCAAAGAGCTCTCTATTAATAGTTGACGCACATTGCCCATCCAATCGACATTCACCCAGTGTCCCGGATTCCAGCTACCAACCCAACCACCATGCTCAGCCCGTTAACACACCGTGGATTCCCTGGCTTAAGAGGGAGAAAAAAAAAAAAAAAAAAAAAAAAAAAAAAAAGTAAAAGTAAACATGGCGAACTAGTCAGACACAATCAGTTAAGTAGTAACTTTACTGCGTAGTCCGCCGTCCGTAGTTACGGACTACTGAGTGGAGAGCCATGCATGCTGATCAGCGAGTGGCTGGCACTGCACTTCCCCTTCTCCTTAGCTAGCGTCGGTTTGCCGGGTTTGCTGGGTTTGCTGGGTTTGCTGGGTTTGCTAGGCCCTGTCAAAAAACATCATCATCTCGTCGGTCTTCTTGTCAAGCAGAATTAATTAACCGCTCATCTACAAGTTCCGACGGAGAAAAATAAGGGCATGCCCATGGATGGAGACTCAGGCAGGGCCAACTCATATTCCTATTTATAATCCTGGGATCCTGGGCCGTTAACACAGCTCTATTATAGTGCAAAATTCCAGGATGAAGGCAGAAACATCTCCGATTCCCAAGCTTCGACTGCGCTCACACCACCTCCCTTTATGTTAAGTCTTGGTAGGTTTTCATTTCTGGGCTTAACCTCGAGCTGCTCTTCTCTTCCAATTCTTTCTTTTAGATATAGCTCTCTTGGTCCCTCTTCTCGTCGAATCGACTATGGAATGTGATTGGTAAAGCCGTTGCATGATCAGTCCGGGGATTCTCTGAGCAAACCCTCGGTTTCTCCTCCTCATATCTTCGGCATTCAGTTGCTGATAACCCCTATATTTCCATCTTCATTTGATTCCTGTCTACTCCGTACACCTACACTCCATTATTATTATCTTGCGGCTCCATTGCACTAATTTCTCGGTGGGTTTGTTCAACCCTCTTGGGGTTCTCACCACCTGTTCCTCCCACCTGTGCTGAGCCCAGTGCTCGTATCATTTCACAACCCAAGCCCGCCATCCACATGGATATCAACCGAGCATAGCCATTCTGCCCACCCAGTTGCCCGCTCGTTTTTCTTGCCACAAAATAATTATACATTTACTTTTTCCTGCGTCATTTCTTTCATCTTGGATCGCATCACGATAAACTATTCGTCATGGAAGGAAACGATCCCCCGTCACCCAAACAGGCAGAAGCCCCCTTCATGAGTCCAGCCCTACCCCCAGGGCTAACTCCAAAAAACGTCCCTCAACCAAAGGCCAAAGGTCCAAGGAGACGAACCAAAACAGGCTGCCTGAGTACGTTCAGTTTGGGACGATGTCCTTAAGGGAATATACAAGCTCACTGATTCGCTCTAGCATGCAGAAAACGTCGAATAAAATGCGGAGAGGAAAAGCCCACCTGCAACAATTGCAGAAAATCGAAAAGGGACTGCGAGGGATATGCCCAGCGTGTGATCTTCAGAAACCCCGTTGGGCCTATGTCCCACTTGGGGCACGGCCCAATCCCCCCAAATTACCTTCAGCCGAGACCTGGTGCAGATCCCCTACCATTCATACGCCGTCCTCTCAGCTCCACGACGCTACAAGAGGACGCTTCTGGAGCACGCCAGTCTTTCATACCGCTGGCACCACGGCCGACTCAGTATCCTGAGGACGTCGTGAATAGTGAATCCCAATATGTGTCTAGCCTGGAGCACCAACCTGGGCATGTACATGTACATCCTGACCCGCAGAGCGGCCCAGTTCCACAGGACTATTACACTCAGCCGTATAATTTTGAAAGCGCAGAGCAGACTATCTCAGCTCATTCTCAGGTACAGCCAGTTATCTTGAAGTCCGAGTTTGGCGCAGCTTCGCCCAAGCAGTTCCTTCATGACGACTCCCTCCAAGATCAGAACAGCCAGCCTACTATCAGTCCGAAGCAGACAACGCATTATCATCCTCATGTACCCTCCGGGAAACGCGAAATCGGGCCACTTGTGAGTTGTTTTCTGTGGATGCCAATCTAAGAACAAGTGTCTAATATCCTGTAGTACGATCAGTCAAATAGAATTCCTCCCCTACAACAACCATACCGTATGACATCTCTCCTGATTCTTTCATTATTCTCTTTATGTTTCTCTAACAGCACAGGCACAGACAAACCTCAATACGAAACGTATGAAGTCGAGGCACAGCCATCCACTAATGGTTATGCGCCAAGCTACTCATATCGTGATGGTGGTCAACCGGCAAACTACTATTACGAAGAAGAAATTGACGATTATTACGATGTTGAAACCGATGAAGAAATGGAAATTCAAACCACTAATAACTATACTGAGTCGTACGAGCCACAATCAGCCACCGCACAGCAGCTAATATACTCGTTCCGCTCAATGACTGCTTTCTTAGGCGACGAAACTTCGCTGATGTCATATACCCCTTCCCCTCTTGCATCCCCTCTCATGGATCCTGAGGTAACAAGAGTATTCTGTCATTTTATCACTGCTGTTGCACCGGTGCTGTCTATCTTTGAGCGGCACCCGGTGAACCCGACAGTAATTTTATCCGCGTCAGCAGTCCCACCCTCCCAGCAAAGCTTATGGACTTACACCGTGCCTACGCTTGCACTTAGAAATCAAGGCTTGTTACACGCGATTTTAGCACTTAGTAGCTATCACATTGCGAAAATACAAGGGTTGTCCCTCATGGCATCGTTTCGTCATTATCACTACGCCATTCGTCGTGTTTCCAAGGCCGTCAAACTCCCCGGTCGCCGTAAACAAACAGCAACCCTTGCCGCAACGCTGCTTCTTGGCTTTTATGAAGTCATGAGTGCTGAACACTCGAAATGGAATAGCCATGTGGCTGGAGCTTCGCAACTCATCCAAGAGAGTGATTTTGGAAGGATGACAAGGGATATCCGATCGATGAGAGCAAGGGCCAAGCAGGAGCACATGCGGCTTACACAATCAATGCCGTGGCTGGGAATGGGTGCCTCACATTTTGGCAGCCGCTTCGAAAATGACTTGTTCGCGGATAAAGAAGCTGACATTAATGACGACTTTATTAGCACCATAATGGGTCGACCCATGAGTTACAATAATTTCGGGGATGCGGAAAGGATAAACCCTGCTACTGCGTCTGAACGGAATCTAACAGAGGGCGATATAGAAGAGTATCGAATTCGAAGCGACCTGTATTGGCTTTACTATAAACAGGATGTGTATCAGAGCATGGTCAGTGGGAATCAGCTGCTGTATGTTTGACCCAGCCATATTTTGTGCCCCAAAAGCAAGTATATTCACAAACGTTTTTTTTACTTCCTAGGCTATCATATAATCGATGGGGGGCATGTCCACCCAGAGCAGGGATTGGGAAGCTCGATGCTGTTTATGGATCCAACGATCACCTTATATTGTTACTTGCGCGAACTATGGACTTCGTCGCAAGGGATCGCGCAAGAAAAATACAGGTGATAAAGCAAAATGGCGGGCGATGGCGGCCTCCACCAGGATTCTTCCCGCCTAGTATGGGTCGTGGGGGACCTCCCGGTTCACAACAGGGACAGGGCGTCGGGGCATCTGCTCCACCCGGACCTCCGCAAGGTCCGCCAGGCGACACAGCATCATCGACTAATAATAGGGATAACAGCCCTCCCATGTACGGAATGGTCCCAAATACAGGACCTGTGCGCCTCCCTTCCGGCTTCTCTGAAACGGCCCGTCGATCTCCATCCCCGAAATCAGATAACGAGAGCGATGACCTGGAAACGCGAACGGAAAAAGCGGAAGCGGAGTGGAAGGAAATCGTGGCGGCCTACGATGCCTTTGAAAAAGAACTGGGACCGGGCTTCGCGCCGCTACCAGCGGACAGCGCCCCGCCAATCGCCACGCCGTTCGGCCCTGCCCTTCAATACCGCACGCACACCATCGCCTGCATCTGGGCCATATTTTACACGGGCCGCATAATCCTCGAAAGAGGGCAGCCGGGCATGCCACCGGAGGCCATGGTGGCCGCCGCTATCTGCGCATTCCGCACAGGCCAGTTCGCAAACAGCATTGGTCGCATCGTTGCTGGGATCTACTACCCGCAACAATTTGACGGCGAAACAGCAAACCTCATACCATCACTCTCCGCCGTACTCATAGAGCTTATGATCCCGCTCTTCTACGCCGGCGTGCAGTATACCGACCCGGCACAGCGTGGGTGGACGGTTGCCAAGCTACGCAACATCGCGCGATTGACAGGCGGCGGCTCGGCAACTGCCGTCGCCAGCGGTTGCGAAACAGCATGGACGAAAGCGTTTGAGGCTGGCAGGGGCCCGCCGTACCAGCGGACGATGAGTCCCATGGCTCATGTGGATCAGGGACAGGGGACGGTATCGCTTTTACCGAGCGACGAGAGGAAGTTTGTCACGGTTAATCGGTCCGCGTCATTGACATGGGCTATGGGATTGTTAAGTTTGCAAGGGGATTATACAAGGTCTGATGAGAGGGAGGATGGTGGCGGTGGGCAGTGAGAGCTTGGGACAGAAGGGAACGGCAGTGTCTGTGGGGGCCGGGGGGGTACGGAGTCGGGGGTTGGGGGTTCGGTTACCCATCATATCGTGACATACGCGTATTTAATAATGCTCGTTATTGATCGGGATGTTGGCAATCGTGTGGTTGGGATGTATGTGATCTTCATCCCTACAAATAGCGGGATTTTGTCCGTCGAGTCACTCTGCTCCGTCAGCTTCGGCGATATTTATTATTACTGCACGAGCCGGACATAAAAGTACGTACGGATTAGAAACCTTCCGTAATACAGCTCTGGCAGAAAATACACAATATAAACAACGCTTTATCACTCTGCATTTATTTCCAAGGGCCAAGAATTTAAGCTCTCCCACCCTTGTGACATGGTAACTAAAATGCTCCCCGCTGCCGCGCAAATCATTCTTCCGACACACATACATGCCTTCCCTGTGCGCTGGCAACGTCAACATCCAGCTCTGCGCAGCATGCCGCTGCGCCTCGCGATCTGCTTTCCCCTCCGAGCGCTCCACAAATCTTAATAAGTGGCTATGATCTTACCTGGCAACAAGCCTAAGCTTGTTATTGTCGATCCCCCCCAGACGGCATGCCTCATGCTGCTTAGGCTAGCTTGAGCTCTAATGGCGGAGCAACATCTGAGGTTGTTGGCAATAGTTGGTTTATATTAAGAATCTAGCTGCAATGTGACGACCTCTAGATCATGCGGTGACCACAGCAAATGCCTCAGGGGGTTCAACTATCTTCTTGATCACCATAGCAGTTATACAATATTAGATAATTACATATAAAAATAGATGTATAATGAAGCTCTTCTTAACTTGACGTGCAGTCGACCTCCTGCTCTTGGTATTATTATTGTTATTTTCTCCATCTCTTTTGTTCACACTTCTTCCTGCGTCGATTTGGTAACCAGAAAAGACACCAGGAGTTCATGTCCTTCTGGTGTCTCGTTGCAGAGAACAAACGAACCGGGAAGCGAGGTAATCTCCCATACGCGCCAAAGAGCACCAAATCATGGTCAAATCAAGCACCATCTTTCTGGGTCTGCGCATTTTCGCCGTTTTAATATCCATCACGGGTGCCGTTGGCTTGGGATGGGCAACTGGGATCCTATATTCTCCTGATACGGGCCCGCTCTCTGAGGCGATTGGAATATCTTCTGTATGTTTAAAATACACGCAAAATCGGGGCACCTATATCGGGCACCTCCCTTTTCCATCATACACATGCGATATCTAAGGACCAAAAAAAAAAAAAAAAAAAAAAAAAAAAGCCAACTTCCTGACCCATGCTAATCGAAAAATCGAAAAACACAACAACAATAAACCAAACAGCTCTCCATCTCAGCATTATGGACTCTAATTGCACTGAGCCTGACCCTCCTTATCGGAAATGGCCACATCCATCCCGCCGCCATCATCACCCTCGATTTAATCCTGGGTTTGTACGCCGTGGCGGGTGGGATTGTCGTGGCCATCTCGCCGTTCGCCGACGCGAGTTGGATCGATTGCGGAGAGGGCCGGCGGACTTCTATCTGCAAGGACTCAGCGGAAACCAGTGCTGTGGTCTGGCGGTTCGTTGCGGCTGCGTTTTGCTTTATGAATGGGTGAGTTATCATACGGGATCCCAATCGCAATCGCAATCAACGCTTCCTTCCCCCGCTGAGAGGAACGAACATGGAAGAGACATTCTTGTGGAAAGCAGTCCTGTGTTGAGATAGTAGCTAACATAACCGAACCGACCCCCCTTCTCTCGGGGACTCCTTTTGGTTGGGAAATAATAAAGAATCATTCACGTTATATTCCTCATCTCCGCCAGCGAAGCATGCCATCAGCTCCGCAAGGCCAATAAAAAAGAGACGCTCCGACGATATCGAGCTTAAGGAATAAAACAGGTTATAAATTATAACTCCCGCCGCAATCCTCTCAAAACTACCTACCTTAAAACGAACGTGCGCTGGGCTGGTGGTGACGCTTGCAAATTTCTTTTTTCCCCGTGTCAGTAAGAGGGGCACTGAACAGGGGGATGTGGTGAATTGCGAGAGCGTTGAAAATGAAATATCCCAGCGATGAGAGAACAAGAAGAAGAAGGATAGTTGGATTAATATTTGTTCCGGGATTTCCTTGCCTCTGCTGGGCCGTGGAGATATTTGTCGGTCTATGTCTGTTCTCTCGTCCGACTGTCTTTTTATGACTGATAACTACTTGATGTCTAATAATGTCTGTCTGATGTATGACACGTAACCAACGAACCCATCCGGCTGGCAGTTTTAGCATAGCTTAATGTTTAATAATTTAGTATTTAATATGCGAATTACACACTCGTTTAAGCTGAATAACAGGAGAAAATGTACGTGTACAAATAAATAAGTCTCCCCTGTTTCTCAAGGTTTTGTCTTGCCCCGAAGAGAGGGAGAGTAGACAGTCACTTTGACAAATCGTAAGGGCAAGAGATGGATACCTACAGACAGAGCAGGTATGTGAGTCACATTTCTTTTCGCGAGTTAAAAGAAAATAATTAAGCGTAAATTTAAACATTCCCCCCCATGAATTTAAGCATAATTTCACCCTCCGCCCCCTCAGGAATTTTATAAACAGCCATGACACTCTGTTGATTAATTCACATGCATGAATAAACTCCTTCATAATCAATGTAGTTAAAATATTGTTAGTAAGGGAAAGGAAAGGAAAAACAGGCAAGGATCGAAAACGGGAAAGCTATGTATAACTGTATATATATCTGGCTATGCGAAACTGTAATGGACATGACGGCATTGGATTAAGTGTAGCCTGGGGAATGGGGGCGATTCATGAAACGTCAGGATGGGGGGAATGGAATAGGTTTGTATCGTGTCCTAACTGGGATCGAGGATATCTTTGTCAAGGAGACCCAGGTCATTTTTGACCATGATAACACGGAAGGAAGGGCTCTTGATAGAAAAACCGTCCAATATTAAATACAAATTCAGGGTAATGGAACCTCGTGGATTTTTAAATAAGATAGCCTATGGCTCCTTCAAGATCACCACCAGCAGCTTCAAGAGCTTGTAGTGCTTCTTCCCGGGTGAATCCAAGATCCGTTATCTTGGAAATTGACTCTGCGGGCCATGGCGAGGCCGGTGCAGAGGAGGATTGAGCGGGAGGTTGAAGGTGTGGGCTATTGGAGGATGATGGCCCGGAGGGAGAAGGGTGGATGTTAATTCTTGGTGTGGAAGAAGATGGAGAGGGAGAATTTGCTGGCCTGATCTGGGACGGCGAGGCAGAGGACGAAGGTTTGCCAGCCGGTTTGGCGACTGCACCTGATCGGGCACCAACAAGGGCACCATCTCGACCACGCACTAGCGGCTCATCCTCGAGTTCATCGTGCTTGGGGATTTCTGCTTCGCTAAGGAACGGCACGGTTTGCCCTGCGATCCTTAGGACGTTATCTTGTAGATCAATGCAGGCTTGATGTCGCTTAAGCATGTCGAGCCCAATGAGGAGATCTATGTGTTTGCCATCCATCACAGCGAATGAGCAGGAAAGGAATATATCCCCGATCTTGATCTGAGCGGAGTGCACTCGTCCCAAAATATCAGCTGTCCCAACGCCTTTCGCGACACCACCGTACCGACGGTCAATTAAGCGCATGATATTGCATGCAGACGCACACTCTGGCGACATTATTGTGACTTGGGCGCCGGAGTCCACGAAGGCCTTAACACGGTGGCCATTCACTTCGACAGGAACGTACAACATGGTCACTCGACCAAAAGCTGGAAGAAACCGTGAGCATGTAACGACAGCACTGGAAGGGAGAATTAAACCAAATCGAAGATTACAACTCACCTTCTGGCGTATGCTCCATCGCAGCTTGCAGATTCTCCATAACCGCATTTTGACGAATAATTTCTTCAATCTCCTTCTGCGCGTCTACATTAAAGGGATCCGAATTTAACATCGCAATCCGTGCCTCCCTCGCCGCCAACGCCTCTGCTTCTTGCCGTTGCTGCGTAAGTAACACCTCACGGAACCGCTGAGCATTGTCAGCCACCTCCGCTAGGGCTGGATTTTGTCTTCTCACTCCCTCCAGCACTCTAGGGTCCCCAAGCATATGCAGCCGTAGCGTCTCAGGATCCGGCATTTCCGCCTGCCTGCTGGCTAGTGCATTTTGTATAGATGCGTTCCCTCCCGCTTGACGACGTACGTTGTTTTGCTGTTGCTGTTGTTGCTGGGGCCGTGGTGTCTGGGTCTGGATCTGCATGGCAAGCATGTCCCCCTCCCGAATCGCGGCTTGAGCTAAAGTCTGGGAATCGCTTGTTAGGAGTTTGTTATTGAAGAAGAGGCGTAGTGCCGACGAAGGTATGTTTATATCGCTTTGGATGACAGCCTTTAGATCTGCGACGGTCATGTCATCGCCAACATCGAGGGAGATAAATTCGGAGTCGACCTGTATGTCCGATGCGACCACGGAAAGCGAGATTCTCCTGGTAGATGTTAGTCGCAGCAACAACAGCTGAAATTCCAGTTCCGCTCCTAGCATTAACATAAGCAATCTCACATGGTTGAACGAAGGAGGCCTGTCAGGCCAAGGGTTCGATAAAGCTGTTCGACGTAACGAGCAAAGCTGTGATGTTGCGGGATGTTCTGTCGGAGGAGGATCAGATGAATAGTAGGTTGGCCGGCAGCTAGTCAAATCGTCAAGGTGGGAAACAAATTAGATACTTGAATGACAGGATGTGGAAAATGGGCGAAGACGTTTTAAGACGGTCCGAGAAGAAACGGAAGAATTGTAGTGAGTAGTGAGGCGGGCAAGGTTGCGGCCAACACAGTCGACGCAGGTACAACTGAGGGACGTTGGGGTAGCAGGATGAGCAAGACAGACAGCTCTGAATAAAGGCCGGGAGAGAGACAACGGAATGCCTAACGCGGAGAGCAATCGGAGAGGACCTGAGGCCAAAGAAGATGTAAGAAGAGGACCGAGAGGAATGTGTCCATGTCTAAGACAATGATCTCAGAGGGGAATTGAAAGAGAAGTATGATTTAAATCAATGAAATATGAAGTTCTAAGGAGCATCAGACGGATGACTAAGGGGCAGACCCCCGCTGCTTCTCCGTCTCGTCTCAGCTTTCTAGACAGATTCTACGCAAATCACCCACATTACTCCGTATATAAATATATCTACTTGGCACTGTCACTGTCTGTCAGTTCGCTTGATTAACGAACCACGAAGTACGGAGTACTGGTACTTCCATGGAAAGCCGCTCCAAGACTCCAATGGAGCAGGCAATGGAGTGGTTTGTTCCTGAGCCTTCGCTGGCCTTCCAAGCTGCGTAGCAAGTGTCTGCCTAACTTAATAGCCTGGTGTCCATTGCATATTCGCCGGTTCGAGGCAAGCCCGTTTGCTAAATAGGATAGGAGTTACCCTAGCACAAAAATGAGAGCTGCAGAATGACACAGCGCCGCTGATTCAACGCCAAACTTATCCTGCAAGCTCCATACCATACCCTCGTTTGGTGGTTCTTTGCACCATCCGCCAACCCCGCTGATGAACAACGCGCGATGCATACGCCACTTACCGATGGACACACGCCAAGCCAGCTTTGGAAAGCGGACGATGTCGCCTACGCGCTGAAATTCATGGTGCTCTTCTGGATTGCTGGCGCTTCTTATGCAGGTGAAATGCCCTAAATATCTAACCTTGGTCCGGCGGTCGCATGAGCTATTCCAGGCGATTGATATCCTCTACAGGGGTGCTTCGGCAAGTTGAACGATTGACGCGAGCAATTGTCCTGCCAAACACTAACTACTTCCGTCCCCCATATTTGAGTTGGTCCTATTTGTGACCTGTCGAGTTCGTTTACATCTGTTTTGTAACCCTTTTCTTTAGGAGGCCTGTTATACAATCTGATTCAAGACACCACCTTAACCCGCCACGCGCTCTGGAGATCACAGTCGAAAAAGATGACGGACGTTAAACGCATCGTTAAATTAGATTCTGGCAGCTAGCGCGTCTGACCTTTCAGGGAATATGGTTTTATATCCTCATGGCCAGTCGGGAATGAATCTACATGAATTTTGGGATGATATCCTATCCATTCATTGTGGTTGGTTGGAGCTTCAATAATACATGACTCGCGCAGGTCGAGCTCTCCAGACCAGCCTACGGTATGTTTGCCGTCTTCTCTCATTCCTCACGCACCAATGAAATTGCGATCCATTTACTTCTTCGTCCGATTGCAGTCCCCGAGACAGGAGAAGATGACTTTTTGAGTGGCGATCATGCAACGTCGATGCTCGGATAGGAGGATTAAGCGTATTCGAAAATTCTGTCAGTTTCTGGCATAGGAAAATAGCGCATGCCAACAGCTGAAACAGGCCACCAGCGATTGGCAGGGTGCATTTCCGTTGGTTGTTTCCAAGCATGCATTTTGGTGCCGGAGAGTAGAGTACATCAAGGTTTTCGTGAGCAGGCTAATCAGATGTTTCCTTCCATAGGGAAATTTTCGAAGAATTCAATAGACTCCATGTATTCCTGGGAGAAAAAAGGTAATCATGGCTGCTCTACGCTCTGTCCGAACAACCTGTTTGTGAGAACCTGCCTGGCGCACCCAGCAAAGCTATGATATTTATGCGCTACACTGGCGGACTGAGTGGGAACAGGAAACGAGATGGGTAATATATACCAGTGACAACCTGCCGCGCGGGGACAAAGCCCATGGTCTGAAATTTTATCGGTGTGCGATATCGACCTATTCATCACGTTATATAGTTACACTACATAGGAATGCGAAGGAGCTTGGATCCATAACCCTATGCTTAAGGATTTATTCAATAGTAGGCATAGTAACCTAAGTACGGAGTTCTTCTATACGTTTTTGTCTTCTGAAACATCCATATTCTTTATCACATGGAGGGGCAGTTCAGTGGCACAGGAATACTCAGCTTTGACCTCGAAATTCACCAAACAGTTGCTGCGGGGTGGGGTATCTCCAAAGTACCCCACGGGCCGCGAACACCGACTCCCTCATGAATCGCCATCTGCAAATTTCCTCCTCCATCGCGGAAGCACCATTTCTGCTTTCTTCAACCTCATGAGAAAATCCTCGAACATTCCCACCTAGTACGCCCATCATTAGAACACTCCTGTCACCACCCCTATTGAAGTTACCCGGATAACCCAACTGCTAGCTGGGGACAAGCTTGCAGTCCGACCCGTCGCCCCTCTCTTCCGCTGCCTCCCTCCTCCTCTCTTTCTTTCACCCACCGCAGCCAAAACCACAACAGCCACGATCTTTTCTCCCCGCATACTCTAACATTCGCTCTTTTGCGGGAGATTAAAACAAGGCCGTCATTTATCGCTCAAAAAGTAAGGAGGAGACAAACTACCACATCCCTACAACTTGGCCCACTGGATTTCTGCACGGCATCACCGTCAGCTTGCTGCCATATCAAGGTAGAGTTTTCGCATGCGAGTACCTGGTCTTCTCTCACTCTCTCTCGGAATATTGCAATTACACCTTGCTTCATTTTGCTGCTCTGACTAGGCCGACCTTTTCTGAGAAGTAAAAAAATACTACCTTCCATTCTATAAATTCTTGAGCTAAATATCATTCTGAACAATTGCTGATCAATCGCCCTCTCTCCTTCTCCCCAGATACCGCTTGTTGTGATATTTGGTCGATTCGCAGGGATTTTATTACAAGAGTACGAAGACAGACTTAGATATATGGGATAAGGGACAATAGTCTATCAAAGCCCGAAATCTCGCAAATCGTTCGTCATCCTCCAACGGCTCACATTTCCCCGCCTGAGCTTACCTCCAGTCGAAATATTCGAACATGACGGAAAACGGGACAGCAGTCAAAGACCAACCGGTGGGGCCGGCGGTTGATAGCAACATCTCCCCTGGACTCTCCGCTCCGTCGCGCGACACATTTTCTTCCATGGAGACACTGCCCACCCAACGTAACTTCCAGCGTGCCCCCTTAACCGAACAGTCCAGAATTGCTCAGCGCTCAGCAATAGCGCAGGCAGATCTACTCATGGCTCATGAATTGGAAGCGGTGGGCAACGAAGTCCATGCTGATGATGACGATGACGACGATGAAGAGGACGAATTCGTTGAAGTAGAACATGATGATGTGGCAGATTATTCTTGGTATTTTCGGCGGCCACCACCCACAAAACGAACAGAGCTGGATCAGCTTCATCCATTTGTCCAGTTGTTGTCCTTGTCAAATGTGGAGGATTGCTTAGCTGTTGAGGCGGCGTTTCCGGAGAATGAGAGATGTTCACCTGAGAAGGTAAGCCAGTTTATTTCTGCGCAGTTTATTTTGATTACGGGGAATTACCTCCATTGTGGTTCCCTCCGAGTGAGCTAATTTCAAACCCACCCCACACAACACTCTACAGGTCGAATACCGTTTAACAAAATGCCCCGAACTTTCACTGGGAGTATTCTACCTCCCGCCAAAGGATCCAAGCAAACCAAAACCCAGAGCACAGTTAATCGCTCACATCCTAGCCACCAGAACCCCAGCGCTGTGCGTAACCGACGCCGCCATGGGCATCCCTCCTAACTGGCGAGACAAGTCATCATCTACACTAGAGAGCTGTAACGGCTCCGAGCCACTGGGCCACCAGGACCAAGGCTCGACGATCGCAGTGCACTCCCTCGCCGTCCTCCCAGAGCACCAGGGGAAGCGGCTCGGCTCCACGCTGTTGAAAGCATATATCCAGCGCATAAAGGATGCCGCAATTGCGAATCGGATTGCGCTCCTGGCTCACGACCATTTGATACCGTTTTATACAAGTCTAGGATTTGAGAATCGGGGTTTGAGTGATTGTACGTTTGGTGGTGGAGGGTGGTATAGCATGGTATGTAGTGCCGTATCTCTATCTACCACGTCAGTTCCTACTTCTTATAAATAAATATAAATGCTGAATATGGGTGCTTGGAATTTAATAGGTCTTGGATTTCGCAAACGTTGAGGTTTGATGTGAAAAGGAAGGGGGATGGAGCCGACGACAACGCTTCAGTTTCGGGACTGCGGGCAGGAAACACAATAGCGGTAGTGCTTTTTTTTTTTTTTTTTTTTTTTTTTTTCTTCCTTTGCTTTTTCTCATTGTTTCTTCCACGAGCATATATGTAGGCTTTAGGTTGGATTAGACTGGGAGAATCAGAGTGCACATGAAGGGATTACGCGGTTGAGACGGATACCATAAGAAGCATCGACGTGAAGGTCTAGGTATATCCCTTTTTTTTTTTTTCCATTACCCATGATGAGACATATCTATCTATTCTGGTCTGGTTGGGTGGTTATTGTGATTTATTTTTGTTTGGAAGGGAGCTATAGGAAACAGCGAAAAAATAATGGGCCATGGGTGGGTGGGGCGAAGAGGGATGGCGAGGCTGTCTGTTTTTTGCATTATTTTTTTCCTCTTTCATTATGTCTGGGGTTCATGAGGCAAAACAAGAGATTTTTCATTTTTCATTTTCGCTTGTTTTGTTGGCTTTACGTGCCTTCATGAGTCTATAGGAATGAGGGGAATAGGATGCTGCGGGCGGATTTGAGTGGATATGCAGTGTTCCTTTGCAAGGCGCATCGCATTCCCCATGTTTCATTTTTGTATTTTATTCTTTTTATGTATATGTATGTATACGTAACTTGTACAGTACTTTTATCAGTTACTGGACTTGTCTGTCTGTATATAAAAAAGAAGGAATTGAGCATATCCTTCCTTGTTTTTCTGCCCCCTTGGAATTTGTAACTTAGAGTAGTGTAGTGTAACTTACGCCGTACGCAGTACGTACGCTGTCCGCTGTCAGCTCTCCCGCCCGCCCGATAAGCTCGATAGGCTAAACCTTCCCAACCTGGGCCCACCGCCTCGGGAAAAACTTCTGTTCCGGGCAGCCCTGTAATCCACAAACAGCTTTTTTTATTTTTTTGATTTTAGATTTTCAATCCTACCTGGCAGAGCGAGGGACGGCATCCATCCATCCATCTCAACAAATCAACCCCTAACCCCTTCGTCTTTTCTTTTGAGCAGGCATCATGAAGACGACTTGGAAGGAGGTATGTACAACTATCTATTTTTCTTCCCTCTCCCCATTCGGCTTGTCGTTTCTCCCCCGGAACTTGAACTCTTCTTGACCTGCCCGCCGCAACTCTGTTAAAATTGATGAAGTTTCGGTCACTGACAAGCGCACGTTGTTTTTTTTACCGTTTTCGCTATTAATAGATTCAACCTGTGCCCTCGAGCCAGGAGTTCCTGGATATCGTTCTTTCTCGGACGCAGAGACGGCTGCCGACGCAGATTCGTGCTGGTTTCAAGATTAGCCGGATTCGAGGTGGGTTTTCTTCGTCTGGTTTTCTCTCTGGTTTTCCGCTTTTGGTGGGACCTTCGAGTGTATGAGAGTGGGAGCGAAAGAGAAAAATGAAAGGAGAATAAATGAGGACGATTTGGATTAGGAAGAAGCTAGCAGTGGAAATTTTAAGGCTTGATGGTTGCTGACCTATGCCTACAAACCTATAGCGTTCTATACTAGAAAAGTGAAGTTTACACAAGAGACTTTTTGTGAGAAATTTCAAAATATATTGGAAGGCTTCCCAAGGTTGCAGGACATTCACCCATTTCGTGAGTTTGTTCTATGTTTTCTGCTGTTTTGTGGAAATGAGTCACTCTCGCTGACTGGATTACTTATTTCAGACAAGGATTTGATGAACACGCTCTACGATGCCGACCATTTCCGTATTGCACTTGGCCAGCTAGCTACCGCCAAACATCTGATAGAAACCGTTTGTCGTGACTATGTCCGCCTCATCAAATATGCTCAGTCGCTATTCCAATGTAAACAGCTCAAGCGGGCTGCTCTAGGTCGCATGGCGACGATATGCAGACGGCTGAAGGAACCGCTTGTCTATCTTGAACAGGTGCGACAGCATCTCGGCCGTCTGCCCTCGATCGACCCCAACACTAGAACGCTCCTTATTTGCGGATACCCCAACGTTGGCAAGTCCAGCTTTCTGAGGAATATTACCAAGGCAGATGTCGACGTGCAGCCATATGCGTTCACTACTAAGAGTCTATTCGTCGGCCATTTCGATTACAAATACCTTCGCTTCCAGGCGATTGATACCCCTGGTATCCTAGACCATCCGCTTGAAGAAATGAACACCATTGAAATGCAGTCGATTACTGCTATCGCGCATTTGAGATCTGCCATTCTCTACTTCATGGACTTGTCAGAGCAGTGTGGGTACTCGGTCACAGATCAGATTAAGCTATTCAACAGCATCAAGCCTCTGTTTGCGAATAAGATTGTTTTCATAGTAGTTAATAAGATCGACATAATGCGGCCGGAAGATCTAGATGCCTCGACCCAGGCGGAGCTTCAATCCATCTTGAAACCTGGTGATGTCGAGATGCTACAGGTTTCCTGTACCACTACAGAAGGAGTTACTACTGTGAAGAACGCGGCTTGTGATCGACTTCTGGCGGAGCGAGTGGCACAGAAACTGAAAGCGGGGAGTAATAACTCTGGTACACCGTCAGGAAGACTGGGTGACCTTCTGGCCAGAATCCACGTCGCCCAACCCATGGGTGGAGTGGTTCGCGAAACGTTCATCCCTGAAGCAGTCCATTCGTTGAAGAAGTATGATAAGAACGACCCGGAGAGACGCCGGCTTGCCAGGGATATGGAAGAAGAGAATGGCGGCGCGGGTGTATTTAATGTGGATCTGAAGGAGAACTACACGCTTGCCAATGACGAGTGGAAACACGATAAAATTCCCGAAGTATGGAACGGCAAGAACATCTACGACTTCGTGGATCCTGACATCGAGTCGAAACTCGCCGCGCTAGAGGAGGAGGAAGAGAAGCTGGAGGCAGAGGGATACTACGACTCCGACGAGAGCGTTGAAGATGCAGAGGAGGCCGATATCCGCATGAAGGCAGAGCTCATCCGCGAGAAACGACAGCTAATCCGCAACGAGTCCAAGATGCGCAAATCGCTCAAGAACCGCGCGTTAATCCCGCGCAGCGCCAAGGCGCGCAAACTGTCTGAGATGCAATCACATCTAGAATCGATCGGGTACGATGCAACATCTGCAACCAGAAGTGCCCAGGGACAGACCCCATCTCAGGCACAGTCGCGTGGCCGGAGTGCTACACGAAACGAGAATACAGATACTGCAGATGCCATGGATATTGATGGTGATGGCAACAATGCACGCCAGGAGCTGCTCCAGCGCGCCAAGAGCCGGGCTCGCAGCCAGGTACCAGCCAACCGACGCGTTGACGGCATAACGGACATGAAGACTCGAAGCAAGGCGGATAAGATGGCCAAGCTAGCGCAGATAAAGATGAATCGGATGGCGAGACAGGGTGAGGCAGATCGACATACAACGGCTTCTTTGCCGAAACATTTGGTGAGTATTTTTACCCTTTCCCCTGGCTTCTTAATATATGGGAAACATATATGCTAACTGTTTATTTTTTTTTTCCCCTTTTGTAGTTCTCTGGGAAACGTGGCATGGGCAAGACTCAACGACGCTGAGTTTCTGGACTCTGGCGTTCAACGATGGCATGAAGGCCCGGTCTGGGAAATGGAGTTTACGGCTAATTTTTTTTATTTTTTATTTTATTTTTTTATTTTTTTAATTTTCTATGTAGCCTTTCTGTTATTCAACTGTTGCCAGTTTATATCCAGGATTAGAGACCTTGCATATAATGTCCACAGCTATTATAGAGTGATTGGGGTTGAGGTACGGAGTCCAGAGTATTCCCCTCGCAGCTGAAGGGAAGTCGTTGATATCATGTGACCTGCAGCCGCGACGCCAAGCCATCTCCGCTTCCACAGCCGCAGCCTGCCGTCATCAAAATCCTTTCTCCTCTCTAGCTCTCTCACAACACACTCTTACACAGTATAACCTCCTCACTGCTCATCCTCCTAATATCTCCATCCCTTATTATTAGCCACTATCGTAGACATCATACCCAACCCTCGTTCACTGATATTTGATATTCGAGATACCCCAGCATCTGCTGCTCCACTGCCCTCAGACCTTCCCCGTCATCCTTCGCCCACACCCTCTCCTTCTCCCTCTCTCCACACCTCCGATTCTATTCTTCTCCATTATCCATCCTACAGCTACCGTCATGCGTTTAACAACCACCCCATTATTCGTCCTCCTCTGGTCTTCTCTGGCCGTAGGGGCCCCGCCGTCCCTGCCATGGGTCGCAAACAATCAGGTCCCAATCAGCTTAGCAGGCAACGAATTGCGCGTCCCAGGAGATAACCCGTTGAACTTCTGCTTCCCGCCTGAAAACGATATCTTGACTATCAACTGGGTTGATTTGTCCCCAAATCCTCCTGTGCCGTATGTTATTCACCCGGTATCCTGAATCTGCAGAATATAAGATCTGTATGCCCCGCCTCTTGTTTACGAGATAATTGCTAACACTTTCCATTATTTTACTCCAGTGGCCAAACGCTCACCATTACCGCTTCTGGTACCTTCCACAAGCAGGTTGATGAGGGCTCGAAGGTTCAAATACAGGTGAAATACGGTCTAATTCGGCTGGTCAACCAAGAGGCCGATCTGTGCGATGAGATCAAAAATGTGGATTTGGAATGCCCGCTCGAGAAGGGAAATACGTCTTTTACGAAGAATGTCGACTTGCCTAAGGAGATCCCACCTGTAAGTAAAATCTTAGCCCTTCACAATGCAACTGTGAGATATCGTGATGCCAACGGCTTTTGAAAATACACAGGGAAGGTACACTGTCCTCGCCGATGTGTACACCAATAAGAAGGAGCGGATAACATGCCTCCAGGCCGAAGTAACTTTCAGCTTATAAACAAACGGCGCGCCATTACCCTAGTCGGCACGCTTGTTTAGTCGTATCTGCTTCTTGCACACGGAGCTTCCCTCAGCATCCCTCACAGCTACCCAAACCAATGCTCGAAATGCCTTCGTCCCTCCAAGGCGCAACTCCTCCTAGGTCCTTCTTACCTACAACACCCGCAAGTGCTATCAAGTTCCCGAGCCCACGATTCGACTACTCTCATTACTCCTTCGCCTACTTCCAGATGCTCTACTTTGCCATGGCGGTTCTTTTCTTTTTGCCCTCACTAACCATGTACTGTCTCACGCTCCCACAATGACTCTTTCATGTCACTCTTTATACAGAATCTTTTAAATGCTCCCTATACTGGTTCTCCGGCCCTTCCCTCCTTTCTCTCTGTAGAGAATTATTGGGAATGCGCCGATCCGTCCTCACGACTCGATGATGAAAGTATCCTCGACACCCAACTGTCTCTTGTATAACCTTTCGACGAGTAGAATAATTCCTGACCTCGTCTTAGCTCTCCAATTAATCCCTGGTGTTGACTCGTTTCCTCGTTCGGGTTATTAGCGTCTTCAATTGCTTCTGGGGCCTGCTCCTTCCTTTCCGTTGCATCTTTATTTTCCCATCCTCGCGGTTATAATGGTTCGTTTTCTCCGCATCCCTTGCATTTTGATTACTACTTGTCATCATCGTTTTCCCGTGCAGTCAGCTATTTTTCATATCCCTATTGTTGCACTGGGCGTTCTGTAGCTTTCACTTAGTTAGATGTCTATATTACCAATTTCGAACTCACAGTTGCTACAAGTGTTCTCAAACCACACCTACCTCTCTAGTCTCAAGAGTATTTCGTTCAACCCACTTACATACTAATATAATACTCTCTATATATCAACCTAGCTAAATATCTTTTCCCGCATCAATATTTGTTTTTCCAGAGATTGGCAGAAGGATCACGAATTGGCACCTCCCGCGTCCCGAGTCCTGAAGAAAGAGAGTGACATTAGGTGGTTATAATTTCGCGTTTAGATATGACAATAAGCGTTCGTAATGTAAAATAGATCTATATCTCCGCCCCGCCGCAGCCCGGAACGAATCCTTACAAGTCTACTAAAGCAATATACGGGGTATAGTATAGCAGTTAGTAAAAGAAGGCAAGATGATGGATG